CATTTTCCTAGGTGTCTCTAAAATAACGTAATGTATATAACTTCCTGGAAAACACTGCCTAAGCACACTGATTAAAAGATGAACTGGAGCATCAGAGATACTCGGAGGAATCAGTATACTGCTGTGGCCTTGTGTTCCTCTGCCTGGACAGCCTCTAAATAGCTCAGCATTCCCTATGAAGTTAGAGCTCAGTAGTTCTGTGTAAATATTTCATTTATACCTCACAAGATTTTCTACGCTGTATATTCTGGTACTAATTTATTTTTATATCCTTACCTCCTATGATTCTCTTATATATTGCTCATTCTCCAAATAACACAATCCTAAATATACTCTGGAGTTTCCGCCTTCTATATCTTTTTTAAATGCAGTTCTCTATGCTTTGAAAGCATTTCTTCTGGCTTCCTAGAAGATGTTTTTAAATAAAAAATCCTATCTTCTCACAAATATTTTTAAACTTCCCAATTGAATGTGATTTCTCCCTTCTAAGATTGTACATATAATTCTATTATATTTTGCCAGGTTATATATTGTAGTCTTTAAAATTGTATTTATTTTTCCCTACTTAATAGGTTGTAATTTAATTTAAGTTAGAGAACACACTTTACACATTTTTACACGTTCTGTAATGTTTCTCCCAACATAATTGCTCAATAAGTTAAATTATTAAAGTAAAGAATACATTAAAGGTAATTATTTGAAGCCCCTGACCCATATTTCTTCCTCTGCAGCATTTGCTGAAAGGAAAAATAATGCTCCCTCCTCCACCTGTTTCTCTATATACCTAGTGTCCAAGATAAATTCTACATTTGTGTGTGTGTGTGTGTGTGTGTGTGTGTGCGTGAAAACCATACTGAGTGTCAGCAACACAGATAAGGACATTTATTCATAAAATTTGCCCTTGAGAATTGGCAAATTCTCATTGGACTCTCAACGAAGGATGTGAATAAGTCGTAAGTTATGTAGATGTGAATAAGTAATATAGAACGGGAGGTATATATTTCCTCTCTCACTTAAAAGACAATCGTAAACTCTGTGATATCTTAACTGTAACAAAACAATTGAGAGATTATTGGAACATTCTCTGGAGTGACTCAGGAAACTGACAGGGAGGCTATGTAATTACAGCACCTCCTTGGACTCTGCGGTGAGTCCCATAGAATTAGTGAGAATGATCTGATCACTCCTTGCAGGTATTTCTCTTGCAATCTAAAGATGTGTTTTATTGGTAAGTAGTATGAGAAATTCAAATATTTTCATCTTTAGCAATGTAAAAATTGCTCTTCAGAATTTAGAATTTGGGAGTAAAAGTAGATAAAATATGGAATCTGGCTCATCTACCCTCAACTTACCAAATGGAAAATCAAGTCTGTGTCTGTACTTGGTGGATCAAAGTTTTAAGTATGGTAAGTTAAAAAGTAGCTAGTACATCTGAAATTGCAACTTGACAATGACCCACATAATTCTTGCAGATAGGTATCATTTGGCTCCTGATGTAGCTTTATTTTTCATTAATTGTTTTCTTTGAATGTGCTTTTCAATGGACAGGGCAACTAACCACAATTCTGAACAACTGACCTGAGTTATATTTTTACTTTACTGAGTTTGCTCTGTAGAAAACAATAGTTGCAGAATACCGCTGGAGGGAAATAACATACAACAATGTGATTATAAAAATTGTCCAGGGGGCTCCATTCTGAAGTAATATTGTTTTATACCTCACAAGATGAGATCAATATATACAGCTCAATGGCACAGTAATAAAATTTGATGGCATTAGTACGAGATGCCTTAAAATTCTTCAATTCAAGCTTAGGACTTGGAAAGATGTGTTTTTCATTTTTATTTTGATCAAGATTTGAGGTATGAATGAGATAAGATGAAAAACATAATACTGACCTGAGTGAAGACCCTGGGCCGGGCGTTTCACTCGTTCACCCACTTAGTCATTCCATAACCGTGATTACAGGTATTGGCACGGGTTAAGATACTGTTAGGAATTTGGAAAACTCACACGTAAATATATCACGATCATAGCAGTCTCAGTCTGAGTTGTGGCAAGTGTAGTGAAGCACACAATTTCAAGATTGTTTCTATGTGGATTTACAATGTTTTATATATTTCCCCTCATATATTTACTAATAAATATATGTGTCACTCATAGATATATGCTTTAATTATGGCAAGATGAGTTTGCAGGCTTTGACAATAAATCAAGTGACAATATAGAGAGGTAGCAAAACACCATTTCATAGTTATTATTACAAAGGCACAAAACACCCAAATCATAAAATGTAAATAGCATCAATAGAAGCTGCCCCAACTCCTGTGTCTCTAGATATTAATATTTATGGAATGCAACTGCCAGAGAAGGCACAAGGCTGCTCCAAACTGAAGTCCAGATACAGCAATGGAAGGTCAGTGCACAAGGCCATGAAGCTCTGCAACACAGGCTGAGTGCCTGGAGCTCACTGAGCCAGTCATCTGCCCCCAGGAGGAGGACAAAGGACATCTTGGCCAACAATTTCCATTATTGCTGAAGCGGAACAGTTTAAAATCAGGGAGCTGTGACTTAATAACGAAGTTATAGCACTGAAAATGCAGTTTCCTTATGACTCATTAATTTCTTTTCTCACCTGAAAAAAAGTTTTAAAAGTTAGATGAGAACTCAGCAGAATTTTAAGGTTTTATTTGTAATAATTATGGGAATGAATGGGTGCTTCAAAAAACTGCATCGAAGAGTTTAAATCTGAATGTGGCCACCTCTGTGTGCATTCAACCTTTGAAATTTAATTTTAGAGCTCGTTTTCAGTCTTGGTAAAGTAGATCATTTTCAAAATAATGTTCTCTGTTAGTACTGCTTGAAAACTACATGGCTCTTCTCTACTCTCCAATTTCACAGCAACTCTCCTTATTTTGGGAATGGCGAACGGCTTTCCACTTCCATCTAGTGGTAGAAAATTGATTGTCACCCTCTATACTGTACAGAAAATTTTCAGTCTTAGAATTAAGATTTCTGCTTTGATGTCTGATAACATAAATAATTGAGGAAGTTCTGCTATTCAGAACTATTAATGCATAAATATCTTTCTAGTAGACTGAGGTGTCTGAATATTGGTTTTTATGTATTTATTTATTTGGTACCAGGGATTGAACTCGGAACCTTGCACTTGCGAGGCAGGCAGCGGCACAACTGAGCTAAATCCCTGGCCCCATTTATTGCTTCTATCTAGAATTCGCAAATACACTTCATTATACGTAAGATAACCCTATATCTATATAGTCAATTTTATATGGAGAATAATAAAAATAACGTCCATATAAAGTTATGATGGCTGTTTTTTTTTTATCATCACCTAATTTTGAAGCTTTTGGGCATCATTCACCCAATCCGTTGTAATCAAAATTGTAATGACACAATCCACAATTTATCAGAATTATTCCTTATATCTGCAATGGTCACTATTGAACTCGGGTCCTTGCGCTTGCAAGGCAGGCTACCGAACTGCTGAGCTAAATCCCCGGCCCTCTAACTTTTAAATAAAGTACAAGTTTGATACCATTTTGAATTAATGTAACTCATGTGCATTTGCAGAAATGTACCCTGTGAATTATATAAAGAACAAACTGGATGAAATGGGAAATTATATCCATAAAGTACATTAATTTTAATTAGGTTTAAACCTTTTGATTGCTTATTTTAGACTTTTAAAGTCTACTCTCAGTCAATATGAGGTAATAAATACATATTGCTCTTTATAATAGAACATTATTAAAATGTTATTTGGCTTTATTTTACTTATTTTATTCAAGTATAAACTTAAACCACATTTGTTTCTTAGGGCAAAAATTTCATAATTATATGTAGAGCTTTTCATTCTCTACTGAAAGTGGATTTTATGTCAAAGTTATCTGGTGACAAGGTACTCTTTATTTCCACTGATGTGAAAATAATTTAGCTTGTCAATACAAATAAGCATGTAACAACAAATCATACGTCAATCCATGTCAATCTAAGACTATCATGTGTTTGTGTTATTTAGAATGAAAGAGAACAAAATGTTCTAGAACAACTATACCTAACAACTACAATATAGGGGTGTTTAAAACAACAAATATAATATTGTGAAAGAGGTGAATTTTCACTAATGACTACATTTTGCAGTAAAGGCAGAGCTTGAAAACACCAACATTGTCCTTTGTATCTCGATCCTTCATATGCATAAAGAACTCATGAAAGTTAAAAATCAAATTTTATTTTCTGACATTTATTAGTAATATTAATTTATTATTATAAAGTTCATAAAATACATTCTCATTAGCATAAGGGTTTACACTAATTTACGTAGTAGGGTAACTGTATTTTGGAAATAGGAGCAATTTCATTATATTGTTTGTGGAACAAAAAGTCCTAGTTAAATTCTTCATTTCTCCCATTCAGAAAATTTGATGCAGGAAAGCATCAAAACTTTAAAGGGTTATTTCATTTTATTCGAAGGTACATATTATAATGCATTTCTGCAAAAAGAAGATGCAAAACGCTCAGTAGCTAACAGGACTTGCTCTTTGTTGATTTTACTGAAGCACAGGAGACTTGTATGTGAGTGAATTCACTCGCTGACAATAAATATACATTTTCCTTGAAGGTATAATTTAGAATCCATAAAGAATTTATAACTTGTGTTTGAAGGAAATTCAGTTGTCAAATTGGTTATACACAACCCAAAAGTTAGCTGGCATAAGTAATATTTGTCACTTAAAAACGATAAACAGAATAGAACAAACATAATATTTTTAAACTAATTGCTCCTACATCGAAAGAAGCTTTCTTATCATCCCAGGTTTGGTGATGATTGCTCAAAAATGAAGACAAAAGAGTAAAGTGTCCCATTTTACTCTGTAATATTCCTACCCTCGTATAAAATGATGGTCTGAGAGACAGAGGACACAGTGTTTTAGCTTTTGCCACAGCCAAGTGAGCTGAGTCCCAAAAGAGCTACCTGTTACTCCTGGAGCATAAGGTGTCTGCTGCAGTAGGCAGAAGCGTCTGATCACCAGTGAGACTTCAGTCTGTGGAGCTTTCGGTGGTTATTTGAACAAGAGGACAGGGGATGTTGCCAGCACAGAGGATAGTGGAGCAGTGGATCAGCCCAAATTCCCATGCTTGTATTTCCTGTAGCACAACTGATAACTTTAAAAAGTTTGAGTTAAATTTCTACTATTCCATGTATTCCACAAGGTGAGGAAACTGAAAGAGCCAGAGGCTATGCGATGTTCCACTTGCAAGAGAGTAGTTACCATTGAAAATATACAGAGAGCTGACCTCTTACATCCACAAAGCCTTTTCCTAATCTCTACATGATGACCAGCATTTGGTCATTTCCTTCATAGAGAGAACTGATGATTAGCTTATTATTCCAAAGAATAGCAAGAGCCCAAGGAAAATAGGCCTGAGTTGGCAACATTGAAGCTTCAAACAGAGTAGGCTCGGGGTTCTTTAGAGTGGAACTTGTACAGGATGTTACAGCAATTGGAATGGGAGATTTCAAATTTGCAAGACTAATGAAGGACACTATCTTGGCATAGAGTTTGTAATTTATATGCTAGGCTTTATTTTTCCCTTTCTCTTAAATGATTCTTTCTCACCTTTTCTTATAATTTTCTTTTTCTATTTTTTTTCCCTCAGTCATTTGTTTAGGACTTAAATTGTGGAGAAGAACAGACACAAGTTTCTATTTCTTCTAGGCTATCTCATCAATGTATTTTCCATGGCTGACAATACTATCGTATTCGGTGCCTGAATTCTGTCCTGTACTCAGGAGAAAGAGTGACTGAAGGGATTCTTGCAGATCTCAAGGACATATTACTATTCTGTACTCCATTTATTTCCTTAAAAGAATATTTCATTTTCATAGTCACCTTTTTTTCTTTATTTTTATGCTAACATCTTTACAAATAACTGTAGCTGGCGATTGTTTTGAAAGTAAACTTGAACAAAACCTGATGAAGAAGTATTATTTACTATTCAGTTATAACAGAGCAGCGTTTCACAATTTGAAGTATTCTTCAAGGTTAATATTAGTAAATATATTAGATATTATCTTCCTAAATATAAACACATTTTAGCTTTTCATAATCTTTATTAAGCTTCCAATTCTGTCCTTTCTGCCCCAGTGCCTTTTTATCTATCACTATATTTACCTAGTGATAACATTTAATTAGTAATAATGGTATTTTCATTCCATTTCCATGAATACTTATGAAATTCATTGTCTCTTAATTTCAATAACAAATACATCATAGTAAAGTTATCAGTTAGACCTAAAACTTATTCTGGTTAAGGAGAAAGAAATTATATAATTAGAAAGATAGCACATTTAATAATTGAAAATGAGGAGCATTGTTTGAGTAGTCTTTGTTCATTAACAGAACATTTATGAAGCACTTCCTCGGTATCAGAGTGGACATAAAGTCCACTTTGCAGGAGAGTGGGAAATAAAACATGGTCCTTTTCTTCATAGAGAGAGCTTATTTTACAGGAAAGCATGCATTAAGGATGGATCAATACAATTTAATGTCACAATATTATGATAAGAAAAGTACAGTCCTGCAAAGCTGAAGATGCTTAAGCTGAGGGTCAAAGAAGGAGTAAGCAGTAGGAAATGGAACGAACAATACAATGACAAGTCTAGGTTTTATATTGTCTTGTTTAGGGCATGTCAATGACTTCCTGGATGGAGCATGTGAAAGAGGGAAGACATTGATTACTGAAACTTCAAGGACAGCCACAGAGTAGGTCCAGAGGGTTTTGTAATTGCTATAAAAACCTTCAACCTGATGAAATAAAAAGAGAAAGACTGCGCATTTTTCAAGAGTGCCATTACATGATTTAAAGCTTTGAAATTTACTCTTTGGAAAAAGTTTTAAGAGACATATAATATTACTCTGTGCTTATTTCTGGAATACTCTACTCTAATTCGATACATATACACAGTGTGTAATGACCAAGTCAGAGTAACTTGCACTTCCACCTCCTAAATGTATCATTTTTCTATGCTGGGAGCATCCAAATCTTTTCCCTTTCTTAGGAGAGTAACACAAATGGATTTGCAAGGTCTAATATCAGAGGCAAGAATGCTGAATTAGGACTGGCTTCCCAGTGTAAGAATTGATGAGGAAAAAAGATATGAACAAGTTGGTGAATTCAAGTGTCACTTTGGTGACAAAATTTAAGGATTTATTTTTGCATAAGAATCTTGGATAGAGGCTATGCTTATTGTGTAGTTATTTCTCCCTCATTTAAAAATAAATTTTGAATCAATTCTACCCAGACACAAAAGTAAGGAAATTTTTTAAAAATAGTAATGGTATAGGGATAAGTTGGAGACAAAGTACTTTACAGATCTATAGTACATAAAATATCATGCACTGCCCGTAAAGGTCAGAAGAAAAATAAGGCTTTTAGTTTCATATTAATTTGAAAAAGAAAATAGGACAACTGTAACATTCACATAGAAGACTGGAATGCTCAGAGCTGAAGTTTATGAACAAAGTTCAGATTTTTTTGTAGCCAGACTGCCTGGGTTAAATTCTTTGCCCTTTCTGGCAAGATCTTTGAAACCATTAAATCTCAGTTACTTCATCTGTGAAAGAAGAATAATAAAAATAGTAGATACAGATAGTTTTAGCTTACAATGGTCCTACTTAGACGTTTTTGACTTTCTAACAGTACGAAAATCATATGTATTCAGTAGGCACCACGTTTAAATTTTGAAAGTTGATCTTTTCCCAGATTTGTGATCTCTCATGATCTTTTCTTGAGATGCGGGGCAGCATCAGGGAGTCACAGCCCCCAGACAGCTATGTGATCAAGATAAATGGTGAACACCTTGTGTGCACATTACTGCTAAGCTATGGTGGCCAATAGGTTAGGTGTCGGAAATATATTTGTGATATATTTTTAATTTATATTGGTTAATTGGGATACAATCTAATGATAAGGCTAGGAGCATCGGTATGGCCTAGACTTCCAGGAGGATCAGTTCTTCCATTATACAAATATTTTTGGAGATCTACTATGTCATAGAAGATGTTCCAGTCACTGGAAATCTTTGTCAAAACCAAATAAATAATGGGGCTCATTGGTTCTGGTACTTACAATTGCTAGTGACTGGTTTTGAGTGAAGGGCTAGGGCAGAAATAGGCAAGCAATAAAGGTGTGTGATAAAGACGTCTCTTTCAGCCAGATATATGAATTTAAGCCTATCTCAGTAATCATACTAGTGGTATTGTTTGAAGTAGATGAGCTGACTTTATGATTGCATGGACAAAGAAACAAAAGCAGTCATAACAAAATAAACCAGACTGGCAAGGAGACTTTTAAAAGAAAATAATGAGAGGGGGTTATCTTTTTTTGTTTCTTTTTGGTACCAGGGATCGAACTCAGGTCCTAGCACTTGCAAGACAGGCGGTGGAACCACTGAGCTAAATCCCCGGCCCTATTTTAAAATATTCCATCGTTAACAGTGATTGAATAAGTGTGGCATTAGTGAAGGGTTAGAGATAAATCAAAGTAACAGATTAGAAAGTTCCAATAGAGACAATATAATTACGAATGTTGTGTTTTATTTTTATATTTATTTATTTATTCGTTCCTTTATTTATTGGTACCAGAAATCGAACTCAGGACCTTGCTCTTGCAAGGCGGATGCGGGACCACTGAGCTAAATATCCAGGCCCCAGAGTATTGTGTTTTATAAAGAAGCTATTTTAAATCAATCAGTCAAAAAACGATTATTCCATAAATTGTGTTACTGCACAGATCCTTTGCAAAGTGAAATTTTATATTTCTTCATAGGAAGAGAGAAAAATATTAACGCTGCCTAAATAAAATGTTAGCTCTGAAATATTCATAAGCATGGTGGTGGTGAGATGCTTCTGTATGGCTGCCACTCGTGTTGCCTTGAAAATAGCAAGGTGGAAGCTGGACATGGTTGTGCAAACCTGTACTCCCAGAATTTAGGAGGCCGAGGAAGGAGGGTCTCTGCCAGTCTGAGGCCAGGTGGACTACACAGTGAGTTCCAGGCCAGCCAGAAGTGTTTAGCAAGAGCCTATCCAAAAAGAAAAAAAAAGAAAATCAAGGTGGTCATGAAAAAAATATACAAATGAAGCGTTTCAATCCTCACTACTACCAACATGTTTTTTTCTCTTTGATGCATTTTATTTTCATTTATTAGAAAATATTTCAGACATTGCCAAGGCCTAACCACAGTGTTATGAACATCTGTGTCTCCAATTCCAGATTTTAAAAGTAAACATACCACATGTTTGTGAAGTCTCTTATCTCTGACTGGCTTCTTTCCTCCCCCCTTAGGATAGAGTTATTTACAATGTTGAATTTGTAGGCACTTACTGTATTTAACATTTATCGTTATGATTTCTTCATGATGTGTTAAGAATTGGTATTTGCTTTCTCACTATTATCTGTGTAGATGTTTGTGTATCTGTCTGTATTTCTGATGGACATGGATAATTTAAGGTTGATTTTTTTTTTTAATTCTCCCATGAAGAAATCCTTTGATTCACTTTCAGAATGCTCCCAGGATCTAGCCTTGTCCGAATCATCATCACCCAGCTGCATCATGCAATAAACTCCTTACAGGTCATTGTCCCTCCTCAATCAGTTCTCAATGCAGTGACAAGAAGGGGTTATGTAAAATACGCCAAATCCTTTTACACACGTCTTTGTTCCTCCGATGGCAGCCAGCTTATCTCAAATAAAGGTCAAAACCATTCTGGAGTTTTATAGAGCCCTGTAAGACCCCGTAGTTACCTTTTTTACCTCATTTTTTCCCCCTCCTTCACTTCAAACCTTTTGTTTGTTTGTTTGCTTTTTATGCTCTTCATGTGCCACACCAAGCATTCCTGTCTTTAGGAAGTACCCGTGACTGTTTGTACCTTCTATAGTCTTAAACCACACAGTTAAATTATTCATGTTTTTTTTTTCTTTGCTCCTTCAAGATTTTACTCAAATATTGTCCTCTCAGTAAAGCTGTCTTCAGTCACAGTATTTATATTCCAATCTGCTCTCTAAAAACTTAGTTTCATCTTTCCTTTCCTTTTCTCCCCAACACATTAGCCTGACACATACAGTTTGCTTCTTTTGTGTTTTATTAGTCTTCCCCACTATGGGATTTATCAGAGAAACCATTTGACCCTTTTCTCTGACTGCCATAAACTGAATTTAATGCGTTTCCTGGCATTTCACAATCACTCAGTAAATGTTTTAAGGAGAAATTAATGATTGCGAACTGAACATAGTCATCAGTGTTATATGGAAGTGTTAGCACTTAACATGTTTCAACCACACAACCTGGTTTAAAAGGAGAGAAATTGCCAGATTTGCCATTAGCTGAATATGAATATTCTTGGATACCCATTAGAAGATTTTAAAGAAATCATGAAGAAAGGGAATACTAGAGAAACGATGATTCTTGAAGTAAAAAAAAAAAAAAAAAAAAAAAAAAAAAAAAAAAAAAAAAAAAAAAAAAAAAAAAAAAAAAAAAAAAAAAAAAAAAAAAAAAAAATGCCAAAGTAAAACAGCAAAACAAACAAATGATTTAAGGAAAGTCCTCTGCACTGTCCTTATCTCACCCCTCCATTTCTGTGCTTTCCAAGTTACCACATTGTGTTCCCATTTAACCTTCTGGAATTAGATTTATGATGCTCTTCAATAGCTTTTAGTTCTCTTGCATGACAATTATCTGTCCCTGTGTTGCCTTTTCGATCTCAAACAAATCCTGATGAATTACCAGCAATTTCACTTCCATTTCTGGACCTTCAGATGAGTTTTTATCTTTGCCAAGTCTTATCTTGCCAAATAGTGCCATGCTACGTAACAAGACAATATTGTTTCAGTTTGTCAAAGGAAAATTCTCTTCACTAAGGACAGTCATTCTTAAAAAGTAATAGCATAACATAGCCACATAAGTAACAGTTCAAAGTATTTTTATTTTGTTCGCATTTCCAAAAATATAGTCACATGATGGAAGAATAGGTAAAAATTTTAAGAGCATTATTGTATGGGGCTTATTAAAAATAGCTCCTAAATTTTGCAATGAGTAATACATAATTGTAAAATAAAGATGGCAGCCAACTTTTCACTAAGTACTTTTGGTGATTTCTTAATAGATTTATTATTATTTCATTTTCTTTGACACAATGAAGCTGGTACTCTTTAATAAAAGAGGTAAAGAATCACTAAGATCTTTTAAAAATCCACTGAAAACTGCAGAATTGGGGTTCAGATTGAAGCCTTTATATAGTAGGGCCCAATTTTGTGCTCTTAAGCATACCTATTAAAGGACCCACACTTTGGACTCAACAGCAAACCTTTTGAAGTGTGAAGCATAACAAAATGCACTGTGAAATTATTGTTTAAGCAAATTGATAACTTCAAATTGCTGATAAATGTATTTCCCTAGTAATCTTTTAGATATTACTTAGCATTTAAAATTATTTTTTAAATTCTACATATGGCATGGATGATGTTTCATCTGCATTTATGCACCAAGAATCTCTAGAGATTATACTTAAGTATTCTGATCTTTTTGCATTTGTATTTTGCTGCTTTTTTTTTTTTTTTTCCGCACCAGAGTTCAAACTTGGGTCCTTGCGTTTGCAAGGCAGGTGCTGGAACCACTGAGCTAAATCCCCCGCCACATGTATTTTGCTGCTTGATGTACATTGCTTGTCTTGGTATTGTTCGTAAGGTTTCTTCAGCAAAAGGAAGATAATTTATTGTAAAAAATGGGGGAAAAGGAACTATTAATATATTCATTATAAATTTATCAGTAACTGAATTATTAATGTACTTCTAAGGACAGTTAAATAAGCCAGAGCAGAATATTCTAGAACAAAAGAAAATACGCTTTTAAAAATAAACTTCTTTTTAAAAGTACTGTGGGCATCATTTTTGAAGGTTGTTTTAGTCAATTCAGGCTGCTATTACAAATGATTGCAGATTGAGGTTTTTATTGAAAAATGATTTCTTTACAGCTCTGGGGGTGAAAAGTCTAAGATTGGCTTCTAGAACAGTTGTCCCTGATGAAGCTCTCTTCCAGCTGTTGACTTCTGACTTCTCATTGCATTGTCACATGGTGGAAGTAGAGCTAGACAGCTCTTTGGCACTGATAATGGCATTGATCTCATTATCAAGGAGTTTGCTTGCGTGAGCTACGTATCTCCCAAAGACTCCAGTTTTGGATACCATCACACTGAATGTTTAACGTGAATTTCGAGGGGGATACAAACATCAAACATTCGATTACAGGGACTTTCTTTTATCAAAAATGTGTCTTTGCTTGAATTCTACTCAATTCAAAGCAAGTTATTACTATAATGCGGGCAGAAATTAAGGGTATATTTTCTATTAAATAAAATTAATAAACTGAAAAAACTTTATAATTCTAAATATGAAGCAAATCAAATACCTACAAGAATCAAGCAGCTCTCAGGAACCAAAGATGGGGTGTGTGTTATGGGGACAATCGAACACATTCTATCTATGAGATGTGCTGGCAGTGTATACATAAAAAGAGAGTGAGAATCAAATGCTGCATTTCGTTGACTCACAGTCGAAGGAAATGGTTTTCACTAGCTGGATCTCGAAACAGTTCCACTTTGTAGGTGCCTGCCATTTTTCAAGCTTTTATAGGAAATAGTGTTAGATTCGTATTTTTGGAGAGAACTGTGCCTGCCGCTTGTGAGAGTTGGGAAATAATTTTATGGTAATGCTGCTTTTCTTAGCCACACTCACTGTGTTTCTCTCTCTGTGTGTGTATGTGTGTGTGCTTGTGTTGCAGGGAAGGCCAGCAATCACCAGAACAATGGCAGAAGACGTACGGCAGGTGCTCTGGGAATGAAGTATACCACATTGTTTTAGAAGAAAGTACATTTTTTGCTGAATATGAAGGAAAAAGTTTTACATATGCCTCTTTCCATGCCCATAAAAAGTATGTTTCTGGTTCCAGGAAACATCAGTGAATTAAAATATGAACCATCAAAATATTTAAACAACTTCCTGAAACACAACCCATATTGGTGCACATGAGTATAAATTATTTTGGAATTTTTGACTTGATTATTGCTGCATTTGACTCTAGCCATTGGTGTGGTCTCCACAAGTTGAGAGTAGCAAGAGTAAACTATAATTTGGTAGTAATACTTATTGTAGCATCTTAAAAACAGAAATGAACCTTCCTTACGGAACTAAAATTTAGAGTTGATAATAAATTTAAACAAAGTAATAATAAAATTTGTAAAAGCCACACAGATAAAAAAAACTTAACTGACAACACTTGTTTTAGACAGAGAATGTTAAAAGAGATACCTACCTTCGACTTCAAACATTGAAATCTTTTTCTTTCCTTTTGAGAAAAATTATTTACTTAAGAATTAAAAATCTAGGTACATTATGAAATAATTATTATTTGTATTTAAATATAATAATATATTGTATCTGAGGGATTCATAATATATTTAGTATATTCTACCAGTCTAATACATATTCCATTTTAATTTTGAATGACTCTATGTATATGTATGTGTGTGTGTGTATATAATTCTTGTTTAAAAATATTTGAGCATTGGTTTATGCTATACTACTGTATTATATACTAAAATAAAAATATTTAAGATAATTTGTGTTTGGTATGTAACACAAAAATGTACATAAGAAATGTTTAAGTAGCTCATTACATTAAAAAGTTGTTATGGCCCCTAATTAAGCTGCACAATTATTCAAATATGGAAATAATATTAGAGGAAATTCAGAGGCCCTTGCTCTCTTTCAGATGACCTTTGTAAGGTTCATTCTTTATACCAGTAGTTTTTAAGCTTCTTTGATTAAAGTAAGAAATTTTGTTTCTCTTTTTACCAAAGTAAATTTTTATAAAAGTTACAAAATATTCTGCCTCGATGATATGTTCTCTGATGTTTTATGTTTTTTATCCTTTTTTTCCAGTTATATTTATGTTGGTAATAAAATAATTGATTTTTACACAGATATAATTTTTTCCCTAAAAAAGAGGATCTTAAACTTTTAGAATTATTTCAACTTTCAAAATTCCTTGATTCAGAATTGTAATTTTTTTCTGCCTTATAAAAGTTTACTAGGTTTTTTTTAGTAAAACTTTAAAAAGAAATGATACACCCTAAGACCATGACTGAATTACAATTCTTAAACTCTTATTTTCTTTTTTTAAATTAAGGTTTGGTGTCTGCTTGATTGGTGTTAGGAGGGAGGATAATAAAAACATTTTGCTGAATCCAGGTCCTCGATACATTATGAATGCAACAGACATATGCTTTTATATCAATATTACCAAAGAAGAGAATTCAGCATTTAAGAACCAAGACCAGCAGAGAAAAAGCAATCTCCCCAGGTCACTTTATCATGGGCCTTCCAGGTTGCCGGTACATAGCATAATTGCCAGCATGGGTAAGTACACATAAATCTGAAAAAGTAAGTTGAAGGTAGTCTTTAAAATATAGAAAAGGAATCATAAGCTTATTTTCATTTTATGAAAATGTCAAAGCAAATTTGGAAAATGCATGTTTATGTGAGAATCTATGATTAGATATACAGAACAAATTTTAATGTACTAATTTAGGAAAACAAAGATATTACAGAAGTATAGTCCGTACTTATTTTGTATTTATTATTTTAGTATAAATACCTGCATTCTATATTCATCATGTCAATTTTCCATCCAACTTTTCATAGTTGCTATTTCTAATAGTATCAGTTTTTCTCAAAATTTTGTTCCCCATCTCATTCTCATCACTTGACTTGCCTTGTATCACACACACACACACATACACACACACACACACACACACACACACTCACACCACACACTCGTGCACGTGTAAGAAAAGGACAAGAAAAAGAAATAGAGTAGATCTCAATCCAAAGATTAACTTTAAAATTCTGCCACAAAACTACCTAAAGATCTGTAAATGTTTTGTTTTTGCATGAGAAAAATATGTCCTACCTTTTAAGTAATTCTTGTTTGTTTGGGGTTTTTTGTTTGTTTTGGTAGCGGGGATCAAACTCTGGACCTTGCACTTTCCAAAAAGGCAGAGGAACCACCGAGCTAAATCCCTGGCCCCCTTTTATGTAATTCTAAAGCTTTTACGTATGCATTAGACACCCCCTGCACACTTTCTTTCTTCTCTAAGACTTCACTCCTTAATCCATCTCTGATACCTAACTTCATTTCACTTTTTTGTCTGTTTGATTTTGCTTTGCAAAATAGCAGGCTGATCCTCCCCCTTTCTCTCTCTTCCCCCTTCCCGTGTCCATCCATATGAACAGAAACAGGTACTTTTGAACTTCATGCAGTGACCTTGTCATAAACTCCTCCAAAGTATTGTCTTCTGTTGGAGGCTGGAAACCTTAGGCTGCTCGCGTCTTTATTCCATTCCGTCTACAGTCACATCACTGAAATTCCTTAAGCCAGGTCCTCACTCTCCTCTTCATTGACTCTCTTTACAGCAAATGAAAACATTGACCACGTTCTTCTTCAAACAATCGAGTGTCTTCTCTGCATCGCACATCCATCTTCCCAGATTGTCTCATGGACTCAACTCTTCTCCAGAAAATGACATTTTCTTTACCTAAATTGTTAAGCTTCTCTTCAGCACAACACAACCAGTATTCAACTGGCTACCAGATATTTCTGTCTGAATGTCTTACAGGAATAACCAATGGAGCATATTCAAAGTTTGCATCTCCCCACCCTCTTTAGAACACCATTATTTTTCGTTTTGTGAAGTCATAATCTGGCTCACCTGACCTTCTCCTGTCATATCTTATAACTCACTGCACTTTATTAAATATGATCACAGTATAGTTGCTAAAGTCATTCATATCTTCCCAGCCCACTACCAAATGCTCATTTCTGCCTGTGTCATCCCTTCCTGGAGCTGCTGGATCAAAGTCCTTATCTTTTTTCCATGTCTCCAGTCTTGCTGTCCTGCACTCTATTCTCCACTCTAATCGGCAGAGAATAATTTTTAAAGACCATTTTGATAGTGTCTTCTGAGTCAGCCATTTTACCTGTTCCCTTTTACTCAGTGCAAAAGATGTCTAACAGCATGTTTGACAAATAACCAAAAATTCTTATGTGTATGAGGCAACCCCCGTTTCCCTAGGACAGTCCAAGTTTATACATATTGTTCTTGTATAATTGTTAAGAACATCCCATTCTCCACTTTCAGGAACACCAGAGTTAAAAGATGAATTATAGCCACTTTACTTACAGGCTCTTAAAATGATTTCTTCTTATTTTTATAGCCTTGCATTTTACTACCCCTTTAATTATTCTCTTAAACTCCTGTCATACTAAATTCCTTTCAGTCTTCACTAATGTGTTGTCACCAGGGGGCCTTAACCATTAAATTTCAAATGACAGGACTACATCCTACTCCCTTCATTGTCTAAGTAACCACTTCTAATCCTTTATCTCCCAGTCTAAAAAACATCACACCTTCTAAGACTTATTTCATGGCTTGTGAAGATATATTTTTTTCATAATTCATCAACTACTTATTAAGTGCCTAATATATACCACAACTCTCATGAGTGTTTGTGATTTCAAAACATTAGTAAGCAAAAATCTGTAGCTTGTAGACTTCACAGTCTACCATGAGAAAGATGAGCAATAAATATACACACTATGTAAAACAGGTAAATTATTTGGTATGTCAGAAGGTCATAAGTACTAGGAAAGAAGAAAACAGAGCTAGTAGAAGGAATTATGAATTCAGGGAGGTGACTTGGTAAGTAGCCTCATTATAGAGGTGAAAATTGGGCAAATACTGGAAAGAAGTGAGGAAAATAGCCCTGTAGCTGTCTGGAGGAAAACCATTTTGGGCAGAGGTAGCAATTAGCACAGTGAGCCTCTAGTGGGAGCCTGACTGGGTGTTCGTGGACCAGTGCAGTGGCCCTGTGACTTGGGGGACAGTGAGCATTGAGAGGATGGGAGATGGGAGAGGAGGGAAGAGGCCAGATCACGTTGGGTTTTTAAGTCACATGAGAAGCATTGCATGATCTTAAGCAAAACAATTTTCTGGAATCACCTAGGTTCATCTGTATTTTAATACAGACACTCTGATTGCTGTAGAGAATAGATATTTTGCGGTAAGTATCAGGGTGTTTCCAAATAGAAATGGTAAGAGAGAGAGAATTTAGGGTATATCTTAAAGATTGATGTACTCTGGATGCCTTAAAGAAATGCACCTGAGCTATGTGGGATAGAGAATTTGGAAGGACTCTGAGGTTTTTGTTTTTAGCTGCTTGATAAAGGAAATAACAATCAATTGAGTTAGAGACAGCTGCGGGGGAATGCAAATCGGAAGCCAGGGAATATAAAAAGTTTACTTCCGAACACAATTAATTCAAATGACTGTGAGACATCAAGAGGAAGATGTCAAACCGGAAGTTAGATATAAGAATCTACATTTCAGGAGAGAGATGCAGCTTCCCAATCTAATGTTGGATTTGAGTGTTTATGTTCTTCGAAAGCCGTAAGACTGGAAAAGATCATTAAGGAAATGAGTACTGGAAAAAACAGTCTAAAGACAATGCACAGGTTTTGCAGCAAACCAACACTAAGCACCAGGGAGATGAGAAAAAAAAAGAAAAAAACTAGCAAAAACCAGGGAAGATCCACTGGCAGAGTGGTAGGCAAACCAGAGGAGTGGTGTCTAGAATACAAATAAGGGGCTGGGGGATTTAGCTCAGTGGTGCCGCCACCTTCCTTGTAAGTGCAAGGTGCTGAGTTCAATCCCCTGTACAAAAAAAAAACAACAACAAAAAAAAGAATACAAATAAACCAGTTGTAACAAGACAATTGCATCATAAGCCATCAAACGATGCTAAAAGGTCATATAAGAAGATGACTGGTAAATTGAATTTAGCAGTGCAATGATTATTGCTTTGTGAGAGTTCTTTCCATAAAATAGAATGTCAGAATACGGTGGGTTGAGGAAGGAATGGTAAAAGGCAAATTAGAAACACTGGGTCTAGAAAACTCTTAAAGGATCATCCTACAAAGAGGAGCCAAGAAATGGCTTGGAGGCTGGTAGTAGAAGTACAAGGATTTGAGAAAGTTTCTTACCAGGGAAATGTTCACAAGAGAAAGAAATAATTAGCTTTCAGTGCTCAAGGTTTGTGTGTGTGTGTGTGTGTGTGTGTGTGTGTGTAATGGTGGTTATAGTGTGTTAACTTCAGTATTACATGATCAGTATGTCATATGTTTGTATGGCAGATACCCTGATGATTTTCATGTTTCATTGCTCTAGGTACTGTGGCCATAGATTTGCAAGACACAAGTTGCAGATCAGCAAGTGGTCCCACGCTGTCTCTTCCTGTAGAGGGAAGCAAAGAAGTAAGAAGGCCTAGCATTGCTCCTGTTTTAGAGGTTGCAGATACATCATCAATTCAAACATGTGATCTTCTAAGTGACCAGTCAGAAGATGAAACTGCACCAGATGAAGAAATTTCTTCAAACTTAGAGTAGGTTTAGATCCTCTAAGGGTACGATTGCTTGGCTTGGTGCTGATGCCCTTGAGTATTATATTGAGGTGCCAGAGCAACAGTGATGACGATAATGCTCTACTGATGGAAATCCTAGACTCATTTCTTCTCAGTTGTACCAAAACATCTTTGGTCATTGTCTTGCTTAACTGAAGAGCATTCTAAGCCGTCAAGTTTCAACATATTTTTTTCAGCCTCAATTTTCTCTAAATCATCTGATATTCATATATGTGTTATATATGTATTATACATATTTCTATTCATCATTTTCACAGTCATATTTTTATGGTATTGTGCCTTCTACCGTAGATGTCTTTCACTCCATGCTTATGTTGAAGTTTAGTTATTCACTAGCGTGCAAGTGCAGCTTTCTCCATAAAGCTTTTCCTTCTTTCCTTTCTTTTTCTTTTTCTTTTTTTTTTTTTTGGTACCGGGGATTGAACTCGGGTCCCTGCACTTGCACCATTAAGCTTTTCTTTCTGTCTTACCTATAGTAATTCTTTCTTTCCATATAAAGCATTGATATTGTAAATGTGTGAATAAAATAAGTACCGTCTCCCCTTTCTACACTTTCATAATGTCACAGTCCCCCTCTATATGGAATTAGTCACATTTAACTTGAAATAGAAATTGCTTAGGTATCTTATTCCACATATTATATTGCCCCAGGAAAGTGGATAGTGTAGTAGTTCACCGTCTTGACTACGGAGTCTAATAGATTTCCCTTGCCACAACAGATCTGTCATGTACTGGTGGTGTACAGTGACTGAATAAATGATCTGGCTGCAATTCTTGACTGGTAAACTACATGCAATTATTACCTCCCAGCATTATGCCAAGCTTAATTAAGATAATGGAGAATGAGTGCTGCGACAATATTTTGTGCACAGTTTGCAGCTAGTAAATATTGATTAGTTATAATAGTGGTACTATTAGTAGTGACATTGGTACCATCAACTCCTAACATTTTCCCCAATATTTTTATATAGCTTTGATTAAGTTTGAACTAAATAAATTACATTAAAATAAACTGAAATATATTGAAACTTAAGACAATCCCCTTTTAAAAAATCCCACATGCTCTTTTTATTCACTTACTGTAAGAAACTTTGTTGCATCCATAGGAGAAAAGTCCTCTCTCGAAGAAATTTGTGCTGAACCCCCGAATGTATTTATGGGATCCAACGTGGGCACAGCGGGAAGGTGTGCAAGTGTAGTTTCGAGGCATACTTGAAATTATTTCTTTAAACCTCTGAAAAAAAATGGGAGGTAGAAGATTTTTATTTCTAAAGTAAAACAAAAGAGTTATTGAAGCAATAGGGGAGATCTCCAACTTATCAATCTGTGTGCAAAAACAGTTTCAAATAGGTCTGCAGCTCATAATTTCTCAGGTAATTGATTGAAATCCAGAGCTCTTCCAGGGATGAGGCATACAAGAATATTGCTTGCACTAAATTTTATTTGCTAATGATCATTTATGTTTCTGTGTTTTAGAAGATCTACTTTTTGCACCAGTGCAGCCAAAATATGCAAGTGGCTGTATTTTAAGTGTTAGCAAACAAACTAAATGTGTTTGGTAATATTTCAAGCATGATTACGGCAAGAACTGTTTTGAACTAATTAACTCAATCATTTTCTCCCTTTTGGCTCTGCATTATGGCTAATGAATATAGATAGAGTGAATCATAATAATGTACTTCACTTTAAATATATTTTGTAAATATTAACATTATTATTTGTTAAAAAATATATCTACATCATCTATGCTGAGAGTTGTGAATTTTCCTAGAAGAAAACTAGTAGTAAATATGATAGACTTTAGATTGTGGCTTGTACCTGTTCTTCTCTCTGGAAGGCCAAATACATATTTGCACAATACATAAGTGAGTAAGAATGTGCTAAAGATATATTTATGGATACAAAATTAAAACTTCATATCACTTTAAGTAACAGAAAATACAGTATTAATATTTTTAACCATTAAAAATATAAATCCACCCTTGCCCCTCAAGTCTGCAGTAAGCCAGATTTAATTCCTGAGTCATAATTTGCCCTTTTTGTAAACTGTTGTCTTTATCAAAATATAGTTACCAGATAAAGAATTATTGATTCTAACTTTATCAAAACAAGAGAATGTGGTCATAATTCTCTATAGGTAATATTTCATATTTTTTGCAGATATGCTAAAGGCTACCCACCTTATTCTCCCTATATCGGAAGTTCACCGACTTTTTGTCACCTCCTCCAAGAAAAAGTGCCATTTTGCTGCTTAAGATTAGATAAGGTAAGCATTTGTTATAGCTCTTGTTTTTCCCAGTAATAAAATTACAGCACTATATATTATATACATTTAAATAATATGTACTGTATGTTACTAAAGTATGTTGATTTATTTACTTTTTTGAAGCAAAACATTTATTGGTACATTTTACATATACTTGGCAGGTGTGGTGGCGCACGCCTATAATCCCAGCACTTGGGAGGCTGAGGCAGGAGGATGTTGTGAGTTGGAGACCAGCCTGGGCTACATAGTGAGTTCCAGGTCAGTCTCAACTATATAGTGAGACCCTGTCTCAAAAAACAAAAAAATAAAAAACCAAACATTTTAAATATACATAATGATAACTCTCATCATAGGTAATTTGCACCTGTACATGATATATCCTGCCCCCTTTTTTTTCTCCCCATTTCCCTGTTGCCTTGACCTTTCCTACTTGTTAAAGATATTATCTTTTCAAATGTAAATGTAATTATTTGAAGTGGTTACTTTTACATTTTAATTTCACTAAAGATTATACTAAGGTTTCATCCTTCTACATTAACCAAGTGGCTCAATGAGTTATGTTTTTAAGGGGGTAGAAAAGTTACCAGCATTTCAAACCTCTGAGTTTTCAATAGACAAAGCCTCCCCAAATCTCTCTTTGACCAATTGTGCATTATTGTTTTACCATTTTTACTTTTAAAAGTTTCAATGTTGAGTCTCTTGAAATCCCAAGAGGAGTTAGCCCTACTATGATACATAAAATGCATTTATGGATGGACTGGAAGCCAGTTTACATATCTTGCCTAAGGCTTCCTTTTGCCTGTAGTTCTTGGTTTGTGTTTACATGGTCTAAAGAAGCTGCTCAAACAAACAAGCAAAAAAACATCTGGAGAAATTCTAAGAATTGTAGTATTTTTATCTTTTTCATAATGTAGCCAGTGGATGATACAGATAAAAGCAAGAACATTAAATGCAACCTAGAGGTTCAAAGGTCCCTCTAATTCTAGCCATTGATTTCATTTACTCTAAAATTTAGTTAGCTAAAATCACAGCTCTTCACTTAAAAACTGTGCATTTCAGACAACTCATTCCACCATCAACTTTTAGTTTGCTCATCTCTAAAGTGAATATAATTTTAGTATGAACTTTGCAGAGCTCCTGTAAGGATTATACACATACACATTTAATTTAATAACGAAGGGATGTAATAGCTGAGGAGAAGCTTAATTCACTTGGCTAATATTCTTATTATTGAATTCACTTTGTTAACTTTCTTATTTTACATGATAAACATGATTTTTGTTCTTGTTATTATCCTTGAAGAAGATTGCAAGAACATAAGAAAATTCCTATCTTTATCTCCCTGAAGTTGCTTATAAATTTTGTTCTTACATCTAAATGGTTGTCGAGCCCCACTGAGATGGACGCTGTCTCCTGAGGTTCTCTTTTTTGCAGTCTTTATTGTAATTTAATTTTCTGAAACATCTGGTATTTAACTCCAGCTACGCATTTTTGATAACCGGATTTAGTAAATTTAAGGGCTAGTCCCCTGCTTCGATCTTTCCCATGACTAATTTTTTTTCTATGACTGATTCTTTTGTTTATAATATTTTTGTTGCTTTCCTTAAAGAAGATGCCTGATAGCATACATTTCAGTCACCAGAAAACCTGGACTCATTTCTCGTGGCCATCACTGCTTTTTCATAGCCACTTGGAGAGGAGTAAAAGATTAAGAGCCCCAAGAATAGAAAGGATTTGTCTTCAGCCAAGGAGCCTGATCTATCTGCAAACACTGGTAGACAAATAATAGAGGATCATTTAAGGTTAAAAGACTGTTAACTGGCTCTTTACCATTTTGGTTTTTTTTGGTACCAGGTATCAAACTCGGGTCTTTGAGCTTGTGAGGCAGGTGGCAGAACCACTGAGCTAAATCCCGGCCCATGGCTCTCTACCATATTAAAAAAGAAAAGCTCTGAGTTTTGCTAGTTGGCGGATACTTGGGACTATTGGTTATGGAAGCAGCCTTAGTTTGGTAGGAATGTCTGCTGTGTAAATGAGCGCTTTCAGGATTTGGGGGTGGAATTATGCAATCAGCTGACTTCTCTGAAGTCTATGTTTGAGATCACGTTGTCTAGTGCAGTCAGGCTGGTATGTGGTCAAGGTTCATTCTCTCCTGGAATATTCCTTGTAAAACAGTTTTGCTGAGTGTCAAATTCCAGGCCAATATTTTTGACGTTTTGCACTTTAAAGTCTTCGTTTTGTGCTTCTCGCTCCAGTTGCAAAGTCGGCCCTTCTTCTAATTTTGTAGCTTGTAGGTAGGCTTTGTTTTTTCTGTGTCTGGTTCCAAGTTATTCTTGTTAAATATGTGTTAGCTCCTCTCAGACTATCTTCCAGGCCTTTTAATTTTTCCTTCCGTGTTTCAGTTTCCCTTTCCTCGACTGCATTTGAAGAATATTTTCAACTCTGCCCTGCAGTTAGGTCCTTCAGCTGCATTATGTTTACAATTTAAAACATCTTTTGAGTCATACTGTTTAATCTGAAAAGATATATAGAAATAGATTTATTTTTAAACATCTGCCCCAGGTATTTTAAATAGTCTCTTGTTTTTTGTTCATACTTTAAATGCTTTCTCTTGTTTCTTTAAACATTACTCGTGCAGAACTTATCATTATGAAACTAATTATAACAAAACCTATAGTCTTTGTGGGTCTAATTACCTTGCTTATTGTTTCTTGTTTATTCATGATGTGTTCCTCCCACCAGTATTTTGTAATGTTTTATTGTGGAACAGTAGAAAAGAATATTTCAAAGAGAATTAACTAGTTTCAACTTAAATAAATAAAAAGAAATCCATATAGAAATATGTAAAAGTGAAAGAGCAAAACAGCAAAGCACTTTTCCATGTAGGTATTTTAATTAAAAACACTCTTGGTATAGAAATATTAATTCCAGCAAATTATAGACTCTCGGGAAATAGCAAAATACCTTCAGGCTAGCAATGGGCTTCGGCAATGTATTATTCTTGTTTTTATTGTTGTTATTATTATTTTACTTTTGAAAATTGTTACCATTATTGTCACAGCACAGCTATGCATATAGACAGTATTTCTGTCTTTTTTTCTTTTCTTTTACAGTTCATCACCTTAACTTTTCAGTACTGGAAATCTTTCTAAGGTTATTTAGTTATGATATTATTATATTTCTGGCAATGAAAGTCATAGGTAGATGCTTTTCCAGTGTGGACACCTAGCTGTCACATAGCAGCAAGTTTGAGTGGAGAGCCGGACATGTGCTCACACAGTGCTGACTCTTTCAGCATCCACCTTCACCCTTAGTGATCCATTTGCCTGCTCCATCCAAACCTGTATTTCCTACCTTACACTGAAGATCTGGGCAGAGATAAATGCAACCATCTTCACATTTGTGAGAAAATAAGGATTTATTGGGGGAAGTGGGAAAGGTAGGGGAAAGGAAAGAAGGGAAAGGAATAAATAGAAAGAGAAAAGGAAAAAATGGAAACAAAGTCTTTGTAAATAGAGAAGGGTGCAGGGGGTGAAGGGAGGGCAGGGGAATGGGGAAAAAATAAGAACCGAGATATGTCATTTAAAGGGTACAAATTCCCAATAATGAATGTCAGCGTATTGTATACTTAAAATATACCAATAATATTAATGAATGAAAAAATATGAAAGTGACCCATTTGCCTATATAAAAAAGCTTTTGTTCAAGCTGTAAAATCTAGAGATGCAATAAGATAATATTCACAATGTCAACATTCAATCAGAATTTAGTAGATATATAAAGAAGCAGAAAAATACGACCCATAATGAGGAGAATATTAGTCGATATAATGAGACACAGAAATAGTAGAGATGATAGGCTTAATAGACAAAGCATGCAAAACTATTTTATAAATATTTTTCAAATAATTAAAGTAAAAATGAGTATTTTAAAAATTTAAAAATAAGGATTTATTTAATTAGGTTAACTTTATAATTCCATATATCCTAATTTGTTTTACCAGTAGGGGAGAGTAAAAGTGGTATTTCTCTGTATAATTTTTCTTTTCTAGAGTTGCCAGCATAACTACTATGAGGATGCAAAAGCCTATGGATTCAAAAATAAACTAATAATAGTTGCAGCTGAAACAGCTGGAAATGGATTGTATAATTTTATTGTTCCTCTCAGGGCATACTATAGACCAAAGAAAGAACTTAATCCCATAGTACTGCTATTGGATAACCCGTAAGTATATTTAAAAATACACAAATGTGAGAGTTTTTAACGTTATATTATGTATATAAAAACATTGGACTTTAATTTGTTGGTAGTGTTTTAAATCAGATACATTATGGTACACAATTCATTGGGAGATATATTCTGTGCTGTGACAGTCATCAACTATAATTATGTTTCAAACATACTACTTAAAAAAGTCGCTGGAATACTCTTAAGACTTTTTAAATTACTTTGTAATTTAAAATTACTTTAATTTAAATTAATTTAAATTACTTTGTAAGTGGCCATCCACTCATAATGCTATGGGAAATGGGCTACTGATATAGTTAATGTAGTTTTTCTTAAATTAATACAGTAGCCTGAAAAAATTCTGCCAAAATAGAACTATTTTCTTGTCTTTCTAATGAACTACTAATTGTCAGAGAAGCATTTATTGATCAATTTTTATATGTTTTACTATGGAGCAACATCACGCATTACTACTGTACTACTGTTAAAACTTATATACGTATATTCTGTAGTGTTGCACAAGAAATGCTTTATCACGTGTTGATTTTAAAGCTAATGGATTGACTTATTTTTGTTAAATAAGATTACTAAGTATTTCCAAAATTTTGCAAATACTAATATAGCTCATTGAATGCAATGGTCAAAACAATTTTTTCCCCTAAATTTAGCCTTGTCTGTGACTGAAAATTAATAGCAGGGGGGCCTTAGATCAAGATCCTATTTTTGGATCCCTCCATTTTCTTGTCTCTTCCAACATGATGTAAATTTCAGGATAAATTAAATGTACCAAGTTCTGTTAAAAGTTTTTTAAAAACAGATATAACTTCATAGTATATGTTTTTGCAAATATTTCACTATCAAAATACTCAACAGTGTCTCTTTTTTTAGTGACATAGTCACATCTGTACCTCAAAAAACTGAGCACACTTGTAGACATTATATTTGAAAATTTTGTAGATGCGATGTTACAAAGACTTTCTTACTACCTTTCACATTAAGGAAAGGAGGGGTATTTTGAGTGAGGGTAGACTTGAACAAACAGAAACTTGTACCCAATGTCACAGCAAAGGAAAGTGTCTTAAAACAAATCTTAGGGAGAGAAAATTGTTGTGAGATGACTACAGCAATAGTCAGGTTGCTAAGCCTTCCAGTGTCTTCTGATCACAGTGTCAGTTCTGAAGCTTTTCTGGCAAAAGCTGTGAAGACGTGGCTGGACTGGTTAAAGAAAGCCGCTGAAATAATGTGCACTCAGATTTCAAGCATTGACTCTCATTATACCCATTCCCCTCAAGACAGAATTTGCAACCTGTCTATGGAGCCTCATTTTAGATGACTTGGGTCCATCTGGGTCAATTCAAGTCCCAGGTTACACAGAGAACAGCTGAAGATGCTTGAGAAGAAAGTAATGGATCTGTGTGTATCTTTTGGAGCTGACAGCAAAAGCTACCCTTTCTTCTCCGTGTTATTTCAAGAAAAAAGTTCTTGTCCGGATGTATAACTCTCCTCCCAAAAATCACTCTTTCCAAATTTGGAATCGGAGTTTTATCTCCCAATCATATTAATTACGTTTCTTCCATTGCTGGGGCAGAACTCCCGGCACTTGCAGCTCGCAGGAGGAGAGGTTTATTGAGGGTCACAGTTTCAGCAAACAGTAGGCTGACGGGGAGAATTACTTGGCCCCATGGCATAGTGGAGCAAAGGTGCTCACTTCCCAGTGTCTGGGAAACAGCACAGGGGAAGAGAACCCCAGAAGAGACACTGCACCCCTCCGGGGACCCACTTCCCCCAGGCAGGCCCTGCCTGCTAGCAGTACATTGAGCGCAGGATGTAAATCATCACGCAAAAGCCCCACCTCTGGGGACGAGAGCCTTTTGCAGGACATTTTTTGATCCAAATCCTCGTAGTGACGCCTCCTTTTTAACGTCCAGTCTTGCTGGGCAGTGCCATCTCAGGGACACCAACTGCCCTCGTCTCACCTCTGTCCCAGTAGGAGCTAAGGAACCATTCCCAGGTGCACGTCATGTAGGTTACAAACTACCTTGATACCTCTCTGGTCTTGAATAAAGAAGTTAAAGAAATGTCTGAGTACAGAATGACAGATACCTTTATTGGGATTATTGTCATGTGATTGTAGAGGCTTAATTCCTTCAGTCAATCACAGAAAAATCTGAAAATTCTTCCTTAAATTAGCTACAAAATTGTTGTGTGTGTGTGTGTGTGTGTGTGTGTGTGTGTGAGTGTGTGTGTGAAGGGTAATGCAATTTTTAATGCAAAATATTTTGAAGTTAAAAGTATTCTTGCTTCCAAAAATAATTGAGTATATATATATAGATAGATAGATAGATAGTTTATATATGTATGATTGTGACATTTATCAGATTTTTATTATGAAAATATAATACTCATCATAAAGAGCCTTTAGTAAAGCCAGTAGTATTTATTTCTATCCTGTCAGTAATAGGAATAGCTGTAGAGCATTTACTCCCTGTCAGTCATCATAGCAGATATTTTATCTTTATTTTATAGCTTATCATGGTGAGAAATATATTCATACTATATAGAGATGATTTAGCCTTAGAGAGATATGCCAAGCAGTTTAAAAACTCAATGCTTACGAAGTTCAGTGTGGACATTTCCATAAACTGAAGGCTGAGTGACGCAAACACTCTAGTAATTTTTATTTCACAGATGATATAAAACAGAACCAAAGAAATTGTCCAAGGTCGACTTTAGGGTTAAAATCTTTTAAGGAATTTCTAATTTATTGTTCTTTTGTAGCTTGTCAGTTATTTTTGGAAGCCAAAAGACTTTTAACTTCAGAGAATATTTTTGCCTTTAAAATTACGTTACCCTCCTTAATGACTTACATTTTAGAATTCAACTGTTCACAAGATACTACTATTTGATTCTGACTTTATTTTAATGCATTATTATATTATTATCTGTCATCATAATTTTGATATAGTTGTTAGGTTGGAAGTCTGTGCTGTAAAATCTGATAGCTTCCTGTGTACTTCCTAAAAGTGTGTCTAACGCTTTTATTTTATTTGTTGTCCTCTTTTGACATTTATTGGTCAAAAATGAGGAAACAAAACCTAAACACCAATAAATAATGTTCCCAAAAGTTTTATGCAATCTTTTTTTTTTCCTTTTTTAACACCAAGGCACCTATCCCTCTAGTATTGCTAATATTTTGCAATTTATCTTACAATATTACCAAAAAACTGATGTTTCTTCTTTAAAATATTTCCATGCTCTACAAACATTTGCAATGATAATTGTGTACACTTCCATATTATTACTGAGTTTTCAGTGTTTTACTCTATTTTAAATTCTCATGACCATCCTGAAAATAATATTAGTTCCTGACTCTTTAGGAAATTTAGTCAAAGGAATAATGAGTACGATATAACAAAATGTTTTAAACAACAGATTACAAGTATGGAATTTTAAAATGTAAGTAAACTTTGTAGTTTACTTACACGCATTTGATGAAGTAAATGTTCTCAGTGTTTTCTAATAGAAAGAAAAGTGTCATATCAGAAAACATCTTTCACTTAGTTTATTAGAGCAAGTCTGATTTTCAACAGCTCATTAGAGCTGGTGTCAGTTCTGATGGGCTCGCCATCTGCTCTGTTTGTTCTGTTTTTCTATTTTGATATCAAATATTGTGATTACAGCCCTACCTTAAGGGTCATATTCATCTGCTAACACCAGCAAAGCAAATAAAAGCTGGAATGTACTACCCAAAACTACAAAAAGGTCAAGATCCGGTCTTTGTTCTTAATTTTTACACGTCTCCTTTAACCTACCCACTTATTACATGAATCTTTTCCACATGTAATGCCTAGAAAACTTAAACCGATTTTAAAAATAATGATAAACCTGTCTGACAAATCAGTGCCTTTATTCAAGAAAGTCTAGCTTTGGGCTCAGACAGATTTGAGGTAAAGATCGAAGCTGAACCTTTCTTTTGATAAGCTTGCTCAATGTTCTTGAATCTAAGGCTCATTTTCCTAATTTGTAAAATGGCTAGGACACTTCACAGTTTCTTCTGAAGTCCAGGGAGAAGTGCACATAAAGTGCCATCAAAAGCTCTGACCGGAGAAAGGCAGCCAGGAAGCTTCTTTGCCTTCTGCAATCAACAAAACAAAACAAAAAACAAACAAGCACAGCACCCTCACTATTCATACCACTGGGTGCACTTTGGTGAGGACCCGATTAATTAAAAGAAAGTAATTATACATTATTTTAACTAGTTGCTATTAAGCTTCAATATTTTTAAGAATAAACTGTGCAAAAGTAGAATTGTGAAACGCTAAAATAAATTCATTTCTTGAATTAGAAATGATGAAATTAAATTTATTATGATTATTCAATAGGAAAGAAATAATGATTTCAGATTCTGTAAATGATACAAATTTACACTTTTTCACCTCTTAGCAATCACTAGCAATTTAATATTTGGCAATTTCCGAAGATTTTATAAAAATCTGACTTTAGGCAAAGTAGTCATTTTTCTTAATAGAATTACAGTTGGAACTGTAACGAGTGTGCTCATTTTTATTTTGTTAGCTGATGAGTTATTTTTATGTAAGTTAAATTATTTCCATTCTTACTGCCTAATTTCAGCCTGTTTTGTTCTATTTTGATCAGAATTATTTTTTGCCCTACATCTATTTTCTTCTATATTTATCTTTCTCTTAACGATTTGACATGATTCTTTTCATACAAAACAACTTTAAGGGGCTGGGGTTTTTGCTCAGTGGTTCTGTCACCTGCCTTTCAAGAGCAAGGACCCAGGTTTGATCCCCAGTACAAAAAACAAAACAAAACAAAACAAAAAGCTTTGACCTCTGCATTTTCAATGAGCAATTTTGGCATTTATTGCTTACATGTAAGAATTTTATGATTAGCTTCATAGTTAAACCTGTCAATCATTTTTACAACTTTTCCTTAATGTGATTTCTAAATAGGACTTCTTTATTTGGAAGTCAGATTAAAAAACTGTATATATTTTATTCTATTCCAATGTTGATTTTCTTTTTTTATACTTAGCTTTTCATCTGTATTTTGGGACGCAATACGAGAAAGAGACATTATGTTTATGAAGGTTTCATGGTTTTGTTTAGCATTTCTGAATAATAATGCTTCTCAAATAAGGTCAATGCTTGCTAATTAACTATCTTCCAATGAGTGAAAAGCTCAGTCTGTTAAGAGTCTGTGACATAATTTATGCTACTCAATTTATGTTACTAAGCAGATTGGTATCATAATCACTGGTGTCGGTTGATTTAAATGTTTTGGTATAAATGTGCAAATGAAAACTTGCTTCTTTACATTTCAGGTTTCCTTTTAGAGATTTTTCTCAGCAGAAAAGTAGAATTAAATATACCATATCTGTTTTAACAGACAGTATGACACAGTACTCTTTTTACAGTAAATAACTTTGATAGGAATTATATATTTACCAGTGCTAAAAAGACTTATCTTACTTTACTAATACAGCTGAATTCATGTGACAGTGAATGATGCTACCATAATTTCAAAGCATATTATAAGAATTTGGAAGATTCCTTGCCAACAGTAACTACACTGGTTTGGCAGAGTTATGTGTAACTAAAATTTATGAGTTTCCCAAAGTAAGGCAATAGTTCTGGCGATCATTTAGTTTTCAGAATCTCCACTGCATAAATCACCCAAATGCAAAGGCTTTATTTTCAGCTTTAACTCTAACAGAATGGCTGACATCACATAATGATGGGCTTTATCCCAATGACCTCGAAACTTGTAATTCCACGGAAAATTTTCAATGTCTATGTCAAACTGAATGATTCTGTACTGTTAAATGTGGTTTTAAGATTGTGGAAGAAAGGTACATCACAGTGGACCTAAGGACTACAGATAAGTGTCATGACTGGGGGACTTCAGTCAAAATTATAACAGCGATAGTCACTGGAACATGTCTTTATGCTCTGCTGTACTGAAGTTTCTTTTTCTTTAGAGATAGGAAGAGGCTTAAAAGAGAAACTTGAGACAGGGAGGAAAAGAGTTGATCTAACTGAATGTAGGCATCTGGGAAATCCTAGGTGCTTTCATTTCCTCGATTGAGAGTTTCCCTCCTCTCCTATACCAGGCAAATTCCTACACATCTTTCCAAAATAAGTAACACTTCTTTGAAATACTCCCTGCCTCCTGAGTGCTATGTATTGTTTGGTTTCAGTTTGAAACATGTATTGCACTTTCCTTTCACAATCCTCTGTGTATCTTAAAAGCTCACATGATATTCTTTTTAAAATATGCCTGACTATATGAAAATGTTTATTATAAAACATACCATCTGGGGATGCATTGTATGCGGGGTGAATAGATGGATGGATCAGTGAATAACTTCAAAGTGTATACAGTATATTGAGTGATTTCTAATCTTTTAGTTTGATGGTTCCTTCCTCAGATATACATATAAACAGAGAGTCATAAACAATGTTTGCTAAAGGATATGTATTGAATACATTCATAAACTAAAAGGTGAAATATCTTTACAGTAATTTTTGTTTAATACACATTTGCATGAGTATACAGTCTATACTTACTGGGTGTGTTGACCACAATCAAGCATACTGTGGTTATATACATTCCTAAGAGAATGTACTCTTAATAGGCATGAATGAGTGTCACTCTGAATAGGCATTTGTACCCTGTGCCTAAAAAACTCACTTTTTTCTTTACGTTCAAAGCCTTCTCTGCATGAATAACTTTTAAATTCGCTGCTAAGTTTAGCCATAATTAAGAATACTAATCCAGCATTTTGTAACATTATGCCATAATGTTTCTGATTTACAAAAATGAAATACTTTTTTGAATTCCAACTGCATTGTGCAATTCAAAGCAAATACAAATGATATTTTTCTAATTAATGTTAAGAAAAACAGCACTTAGAATTAATCTTGTCAGCCGTATTTAGTTCTGGAAATGCAAAGTAAGTCAACTTGCTTCCTTGCCCTAGAAGTGCTGCCGCTGTTGTGACACTGTGTTTCATTTTGTAACCCATCTGCTACTTAGGCCAGATATGCATTTTCTGGATGCAATCTGTTGGTTTCCAATGGTTTACTACATGGTGGGCTCTATTGACAAGTAGGTGACAACGTTTTTAACACATAAGTCGTGCTGTGTCCTGTGCTTTGTCCTGTGCTGTGCCTGTCGCCGCATGGAGTGTCGTTGGCCATGTTAGTTTCTGATAGCGTACTGAGTGCATGTAGAGCTTGCGTATCTTATCTTCCACTTCTTAAGCAATAACCTATTGTCTAATTAGAGCAAATTTTATTGCATGTCTCTCTTGTCACTTGTCCTCAGTTTCCAAAAAGCTGTTTCAACTCTGTGTCTTGTAAGTTACCTTGTTGCTATTGTTATAGTGGCCTAAAAATGCACTTATGTCATTAACATGACTTGTGTGGAAATCTCCAGAGTACTTTAAAAATGTCCATGTTAGCTTAGATTTCTAAATAGGAACATTTTAGCAACTTATTCTACTTGCTTATCAGATATCAACATTTAAAAATATTTTTAATCAAAACATGTACCATGCAGTAGTACAAAAACACAAATTTGTATGTATGCATCATTCTGTTGTTATTAATATATAAAATTAAAAGAACAGAAAACTAATATATATGAATAATATGAAATTATTTTTCATTTTTAAGATGCTAAAATTTACGAATTGAGAACTGTAGTGTGTGCATTCTTTCCTGTAGATGTTAAAAAAAAAAATCTGTAAACTTTAAATGTGCTTTAACTTTGCGGATATATTAAAGGTCAACCAGATTAAAATGCATTCAGTCTCCATCTACATTAATATAATGACATCATTAGATGTAATACTAGCTAAATGACTAAAATGCATTTAAATAAAGTAAAATTACCATTTAAATTGTAAACATTTTATGACCAGTAATATGAGTTTAAAATGATAGTATTGTATTAAAAATTCATGAGAAAAACATTAAAAGAGAAAGGACATCCCTTCTGTCTTTTCTAGTATAAAATGTATTTGAAATTTTCCTTATTTCAACAAATTTAAATGAATTAAAACACAATCAAGAATGCTTCCTCACACTCTTACAGTTCACATTCTAGTCCTTGAAAAAGAGTCACAATTCTAGACCTTGGAAAGAGGAATCAAAAAAGATGGAAAGGGAAGCACTGTTAATTGGGTTACAGTTTTTATAACGTCTTTTTTTATTCAAATAAACTTTCCTTGGCTGCCCTCTGGTGGCCAAATTGTAGAAAGCAACATATTGGTGGAAAACGGGTGGTGAGGATGGAATTGATATGAAATATATAAATCGTTAGTCTATTAAAAGGAAAATGGTTAATTAAATATTAAATAATAGAAAAATAATGATTTAAGATTAAAATGCAAAAACAAATGATCTATACTTTTCAGGAATATCATTACAATTTTATATTTTGTCTGTTGATTTAAATGGGTATTTAAGGGCTGGGGATTTAGCTCAGTGGTTCTGCTGCCTGCGCCGCAAGTGCAAGGACATGAGTTCGATCCCTAGTACCAAAAACAAATAAATAATGATTATTACTATTTCTCAAATATAACAAGAAAAAATTTTTGAGGCTAGAATTAATACATGTGGTCATGTTCAGCTTTCAGCAATTTAACACAGACATCTTTTAGTGAAACTTTTGTCCAGTATTAACTTCAGCTTAATTATTGTTGAGTAAGCCTTCATCTTTTCTATCTTAACATCTAACTAGATCTTTATGGAGTCAAACTTAATTTCTACCACTCTACCTTTCCCTTTTCCTAAATAATTCTAATCGTGCTGTTTTATTATAAATGGGAAAGTTGTTGTGAAAGATGAAATATAAGAAATAATTTAAAATATCGGGAAGTGTGAAAGCAAATGAGTTAGTTATCATATTTATGCTCTCTAAGAGGTCATATCGCAGTCTTTGGGGGGTGGATCCAAACTCAGGGCCTTGCCCATGCTGGACAAGTGCTCCAACATTGAGCTGCACCTCAGCTCCTGGATAACTCCTTCTAAAATGCATTTTAGTGCAGGTGTAGGAGCAGTTGTGATGAATTTCCTAAATAAAAGAAAGACCCGAATATCCCTAGTGCTTAAGCTTGAAGACTATCATTTTGATTGGGTGTTATGGTCCTGGCCCCTCATATCATAGGAAATTTATTTGGAATAACATTCTGTTTCCACAGTTTTAGCCATAAAATCTCTGCCACAGAACACTGTTCCTGATTCAAGTGAAATATTTTTTCTGGACTACTCCTGGGGATCTTGGACTCAAAGCTTTGGTAATACTCTCTCACCTAATAACAGAGTAAGAAATCGTACTTCTCGCTTTGCCATAAGAGGAAAACAATCCCCTTTACAGTGACATAGCTCATTCAACCAGTTAACTTGGAAAAGATCCTCAGAGACCTGACTCTTTAAGAATCCAAGGAGGACTCAGGTTATTTCAGTTTTATTCTTCCTATTTTAAATAGGAAGATGGTGAGATAAATCAATCTATCTCTTCTTTGTCTTCAGTCAACTCTGGAGAGCACTCTTCTTCTCCCTTAAGTTTAATGTCCCTTAACTATTCAGTTCTATTTTTTCTAGCTGAATAAGCCAAAGTCAGTGAGGATAACACTTTCCTTGTTTCAACTTTAGGGGTGGATACCTTTTTCTTTCATTCATTGGAAAAGGATTCTAAGTAAGGTATTTTAGGGGAGAAGACTATAAGAACTCACACGTATTGTCTTTTAATTTTATGATCACTTCATGCAGCTGAAGAAATCAGCATCTTTGATCATTTGTTTAAACACTTCAGCTGGGTAATCAGGAGGCACAAACATAACAGATATTTGTGCTCAATAGAAATCATCTTCAGCCCATGGCTCTCACATGAGGAAATAATAAATTGGGCACAGTGGTGCACGCCCGTAATCTCAGCTACTCAGGAAGATGGGGAGTTCAAGCCCAGCCTGCGCAATTTAGTGAGATCCTGTATGCAAATAAACGCACAAATAAGTAAAATAAAGGAAGTGATAAAGATTGAAAAATAAACATTTCATAGCTTTGTATTTCTTCATCAGGCTTGACAATCTAAATTAAGAATATCCATCTCTACTCTTTCCCAAAGCATCATAGAAATAAAAAGAAAGTAAACTTACATCTCTGAAATAGCATGTTAACTGTAAATCATAGCTGTAACACACTCTACTCTTTTAATGTAAAATGGATCTTTGTATGTATCATATATGTGTCTTAATAAATATGATAAAATAAACATTCTTAACATAGATGCTCTGAAACAGATGATATCTAATAAATCTAAGGTTCCTGAAATAAAAAATATTTTATGCCAGTAGAAACATCAGTATATCATAGTTCCCAGTAGTATCTGCCTATGCACACACTATGCCAGCCACGCATAGAGACATCTTACATTAGTACAGCACCAAGCAGTTTCGAGCAACAATGCTAACATGGTGGTTTATTTAAAGTCCGCTCTTCTCTGTTGATTTTTATCAAAGTCTAGATGATTTGCTCAGGTGTGGAGTGACCTTTGCTGCCAACATGGTGGTGGTGGACAAGGAAAGCACCATGAGTGCTGAGGAAGACTACATGGCTGATGCCAAAACCATTGTGAATGTGCAGACTCTTTTCAGGTACGCATCTGTCGTCGGCTGGAGGCTAACCGTGGGTGAGATACTTGAAGCCAACTTGTGTGCGATACACTTACATTGACTTTATAGTCTTTCATTTATTCTTTTGATCACAAAACAAGTGCATATTTGTGTCACTGGCACTGTGTAAGTCAAATGTGTAACAGCAGATCAATAATTTTTTTAAATAGAATTATGTGTCCGTTTTCTTAGATAATACTGCGCAGCGGCAGCCATGCTTAGGACAAATTATTCATGTTTGGATTTGGGTTTCATGTCTAGCAGCAGTTTAGGTATGCAGTTAACTAAGATTGACATTAGGCAAAGTTATGGTAATTTATCCAGCTTAATAGCAAATTCCCACTAATTTTATGTGTCTCATTAACTTCACTCACCAGTTTTGTTAAACCAACTCAGATCTAAATCTCCTTTACGGTTATCATTGGCTAAGTGTGAACAGACAAAAGTATTGGAGGCTGATCAGACCCCCGATCACCACCTGGCCAAGGGTACGGTGGCAGGATTTTAAAAAAAATGACAAGATCTTAATGCATAAATGGAGGGCCTAGTACTGTCAAAGCTCTTAACTCACTAAGAAACTGTCTCCTGAGCTTGCCACTATTTATTTATTGACATGCATCTTCTAGAAGGAGTAAGGCGCGGTGCAGGGAACATGGAGTAGAGAGCCACTGAGGTGAGCAGGTTCCTAGCAACAAGGGGACGAAACATTCTAGCAAGAACAGCTCATAGACTAAAGGGAAACGTATTCCTTCCCATACATTCATTTTTGCCTCTCTAGGAGCTCTCTGTACAAGTCATGTTGCCCTTGGCAATACTGTCGTGCCTTCCAAGATGTCACAGTGACCGTCACAGATCATTGGGACCTCCACGTATCCAGTGGTGTGGGGAGTTGTTCCTTCTGTTCCTTCTCCACACACCAACTGCTAGCTCCTCAGGGCAGCCATTGTGGGCTCATAGGCAGAATCCAACTTCTAATATGAAAAACCAGTCCATGAATTTGTAGCTTGTTCAGGGTGGTGTCCATCACAAAAGTATTTACTATAAGCCAAATCAAAATTATTTATAAATTGAGACATCTGTGACACTTGGAATCCTGTGAAATTTTAAATATCAGAAAGATCACTTTTTTCAGTTTTGTGTGTACATTTGCATCAGTTGAAAGGAAATATCTAAGCTACCAACTATGAAAGTAAATAACATAGCCCTTATCAACACCCTCCTTTCACTTTACACCTTCGTATTGTAGCAGTATTGAGGCAAATTAACTCATATTTGATTGCAAAATTCAGAGATGGGTCTAAAGTTGATTCTCTGGGCCAAGTTGAGAGAGTACATCTGTGATCCCAGCACTCAGGAAGTTGAGGCAGGAGGCTTGCCATGAGTTGAAGGCCAGCCTGGGCTACATAGTGAGTTCAAGACCAGCCTGGGCTACATTGTGAGATACTGTGTCAAGAACAAACAAACAAAAAACATAATAAAGTGGATTCTCAGGGTGAAATTTTGGAGTATGAGTTTAAGAAAATTACTTTCCTTTTCTAAATCCCATTGCTACTAAGAATATTAGTTAAGATTTTAAAAATAAGTATAATGTTTTAACACATGCTTGGTAGTTATAATTATGATCAGTATAATAATCACATTGATGTGGTAGAATGAAAAAGTTACATGTATTATAGCATCAAATTTTATCTGTTACCATCTCTGTCCTTAATGGCTTTACAGATCCTACTTTGTGACCTTAAATTGTGTTTCCTAAACTCATTGAAATACAGTTTTCCTCATCTATATAATGTAGTGGGAAATAATTTGACCACCTTTTGGTGTTAATGTAAAGATCATATATATAAAGAATCTGCCAGCAACTTGAAAATCTATTCTGAGTTTGCCTTAGGATCTTTGTGTTCCAGAAGGAGACATGTATGGTACGAGGTTACTGTAATGTGGCAGCTCATTTAAAATAGAGCTAACTAGTTATTGAGCCCTACTAAGTAGTGCTTTGAAAGGTAGTATAGGACATGTTTAAATACGACATATATGTAAGCATTTCTTTTCTCTAGAGAGTAGATAAAGGTAATTATAGAGTAAAGAATTAATTCAGGGATGAGATTTATAGCCAGTGAATGAAGTAAAATCACTTTTGGATTCCATGCCTTGCAAAAGCTAATTATAGTTTTAAAAGAAGAGCATCCTGTTTTTTTAATGTTGTTTTGTTTTCAGTATACTGTGAGCTTATTTCTATTATGATGAAATTTCTATTGATTTGAATTTTTAAATTCTCTGAGTGAATTATCTTGATTCCAAGATAGTAATAATTTCCCAACTTACTAAGAGATATAAAGGCTCTAACAATAATTTAAAACTAACAATGAGGATAACTAAGGGCGGATATACATGTGATTGCTGACTGCAAAGACTGCCTAGTGTGTAGCTGAAGAAGTGACTATCATATGTTGACCTAATGAAAGAATAACTTTTAATACCTTTACTAAATTTGCTCTATCTTCAGAAGCAGGATCTTTTAGAAATTATTTAATTTTTATGACATCTAAACTGAATACATTCCAGAAGATTTTTTTAAAATAAGCTATTAGATACCTGAGTTGCAAAGTGATTAATTCTGTTAGTTCCTTACCTGCATCCTATAAAGGCATTACCAATCTCGCACTAAAAACATGGCAATATTTTCAGGAAAAAATTCCTGCGAAAATCTCCGAAGGATGAATAAGTAAACTGTTAATCTATGTTTGCAAAGCTTAGCTAGTTTTTGTAATAAAATGCAAGGTGTGTATACAGTCCTGTGATAAAACAAATGTCACTGGCATCAGTAAGTGATCCAGTTACTTTCCACGGGCCAGATTTAAGTTCCTAATTTACTGAGACTCGCCAACCCTACTGCGATTCTTGATGTTGTCAACAGTTCTACACAGATGTTCTTTGCCATATCTTACCTTAGCTGACCATTTGGTCATGGCCTTGACTTTGAACTGGGGGTAATTTTACCTTTCATGTTCTCAATATATAGAATTCAATTTTCTGGGTATTATAACTTATTTTCAACTTAATTTTTTTTTTCTAAAATTCCCAAATCTTAATAGCCTTTGACCACCTGAGAAGCTATCATCTACTGATCCTATTCTCTGTCCATGGATAACTGAGGACCTTTTTCTTCTCGTTTCCCTCATTAAATTTCAGGATAATCATTATAATCACTTCTGTGCTGAAAACCGCAGTGGAAAATTACTGATTGTTTACTATCAGCTAACGCTGATGTCAGCTTTTCCTTTTCTCTCTTCCTTCTACTCCCAGTTTTCTGTGCTTTTAGATTCTCTGTTTAGCATAAAATTCCCTAGAGGTAGATGACAGCATTCTATAGATGGGATTCAGTTTCTCTTCGCAGTAAGTATCAGGTAACTGGAAATTCAGTCACAATGGCTGGATTTCTAAATATTTAGAATTAAAAGCTTGGTCCTCAGCCCCAATAGAATTCTTATATATTAATCATGTATAAATGAATAGTAGATCTACAATCCTTAGCAGTTCTCATATCTTGACAAAACATCAGTAATCCCCTTGATGGAAAGCTAATTTTCTAATTGGTTAATTAGTAAGACTTATGATAGAACCATGGATAACAGAAGTGGCTTTGTGTGAACTTTCTGAGTAAAGCCAAAGTAAGCCAAACTGGAGGTGAAATGGAATACTGGTTGCATGTGGAGTTTAAACAACACCCACATGTTGTTCATTCTGAAATATTTTAAGTTAATTTATAGATATCCTAGGAGTCATTCATTTACTGTGGATGAAGGCTGCTGATAAAACTAGAAGAGCTCCAGAATCTAAAGTCTTACTGTTTAATCCTGGTGATCTGAATGTGTCCATACTCTCCGTCGTATTGCCAGGCAAAGCAATTGAAATAACAAAACGAGATGAGTTCTGAACGTATTCAGAGCAGTACCTGATTCATCTGAAGCAAATGATAACTGGAAGCCTCTGCTGGTTTACTGACTATGTCCTAACACATAGTTGTCTAAAAAATATGTATGTCCACTGATATGAGTCAGATTATTATTAAGGCAAGATGCTCGACGTGATATTCTTTTTAATTTGCTTGTTTATTTGAAGGGGGAAAGTATTACATCTTCTAATTTATTTGACATCTGTATGCATGAGGCAGGTAAGCATTGTTGCCTATTTTTACTTTCTGTGGGGGAAGCTACATTTCACTGTAGCATTTATGAAAGATCATGGAGCTACTTTGGCCCATGCCATTGTGAACTGATTACCTTGCTGTTCAATTTTGATGTGGGGCATTTTAACTGTAAATATTCAACTTTCACAACTATTAATATGCTTATTAGACAAATATTCAATCTATATGGTTATGCTATCTTCCAGGAAACAAGAATGGGATGCAATTCAAGTATAAAATGATCGTAGAAACCCTCTGATTCACTATTAATTTTTGTAACTCGTATGGCCAGCTTTGCTAGATTAACATAAGGTTATATTCTTATTCAGAAAATTAAATTGATGAGTTGAACTCCTACTTCCTAGTTCACTCGATAGAGCTCTTAGTAGATTGCCAAAGGACCCTTCAAGATTACTGAGTCCAAAGGGGCCCCCACCAGGAGAATTTTATTAATTTACCTAGAGTGTGTTTGTGGAGAAGGGAGACTTTGAAATTAGGAAAGAGTTGAAGGCGTGTGGAGAATTCTTTCCTATTATAATTTAAGCATGCTTTTGTAATTGAAAACTGAATTGTATAATTCATCTTCATTCTTTTAGAGGGAAAAAATAATCTTCCCTTCATCCTTAAAAATTCTCAGCTAGGGCCAATATAACAGATGGACAAAATAGACTGACAAGATGCAAAAGACAGATTAAGAAGAGAAAAAAATAAATCAAGTTTATTAGCATGTATGTCGCTCGCGTAACATTTGGTAACACTTGGGAAACAGTAACACAAGAAATAGCCTAGGACC